TATGGGTTATACATACACACAATGTACCCAATGCTGTAGACATACATTAGGCTATGACAGTAGCCAACATTCTGGTTGTATTTTGGACCCAGGTTATATAATTCTCGAATGAGCAGAACGAGAGAGCTTGGAAGCTCAGGGCCATAGGCTATGCTTTTTTGCCTTGATGACTGAGACAAAAAAAGCATAGGGATGTTATAAATTCTTACAAAATTTCTACTTTTTGTTTTTAGAAATAACCTGGGATTCGAACCCGCACTATCGCCCTGCATGCATCCCCCGATACACTTCGCATACATACTAATTCTTCCAAGTTTCTTCACGTTATGATCTTGTATTTGAAAGCCCTATTTGAATTATGCATTGTGGCCAGCCGTCTTTGATTGTACGGTACCGGACAGATACGGGACAGGTACGGTCGAGGGTAATAGAGAGGTTAAGATGCACGTTATTTCTGACGTGACGCGAAAGTTCAGCTCACGTTATTTGCTCGCACGTCGAAAAATCAACGCGAGTGACCTGCTGCTCACGTCGAAATTTGGAGTTTTACGCCAAATTTGACGTGAAATTGTGCGTCACGTCGGAAATAACGTGCATCTTAACCTCTCTAATACGACACCATCTACCGCCTTGATGACGGCAAAAAAGAATAGGGATGTTATAAATTTTTCAATTCTCCTATTTTTTCAGGCATTACCCTGGGATTCGAACCCGCACTATCGCCCTACATGCATTCCTCGATACACTTCGCATTCGTACTCATTCTTCCATGTTGCTTCACGTTATGATCTTGCGTTTGAAAGTCCTATTTGAATAGTGGGGCCAGCTGTATGTGGCCAGCTGTGTTTGATGGTACGGTACGGGACAGATACGGGATAGCGCCAGGCGTGACACAAACACACAAACACCAAATTAAAGCTGTGTGGACCCTGGCTAGCGCCAGACGTTACTGAAGTAACGTCTTCTGCATAGCTACGGGAATAAACCGGAATTGCGGCCATGTAACCAAACGACTACACTTAAAAATCGTAAAAAGGGGATCACGTGGGATCCCGTACACCTCGCACGCAATTCCACCCCCTCTTCAGAATTGAGTGGTGTGAAGGAATTGGATTCCATCAATTCTGACGACGAGATTTGGGTAATCGACCAGTGCATCCACCATAACTAATGCTAGAATTGACCGAAATGTGTGTAATGAAATGTGCCCATAGTCTGCGTGGCAGAAACCAAAAAAGAAAGAGGGAAAAACGCCGACCGACCATGCTACTGATGAGTGAAGTGACCCAAACAAACGAATTAATTCTGGGTGGCTTGTCTTGGTTACGCTCCCCTTCCCCTCCTTATGTTATTTCTATAACTTAGAACCTTCCAAGCTGGAAGGCTGTTGGAGTGCACATCCACGATGTGCTAGAGCTGATTGCCAGTTAGGTGCAGAGCGTCAGTACCTTTGGTCAGTGCCGTGCAATGTTATCGCATGAGCTGATTGCAAAGTAACAGGTGGTGTTAGTGGATAATTATAGCGTAACTTGTAGCTCTTTGGTCCCTTTTTTCTTCTTATGAATTTTTGTTGACTTACAGTAGCGAGGGCCCTGAACTGTCAAGCTCTCTCGTATTAATACGACACTACCTTATTTCATCTTTTCTATCCTCTTTTTTTAAACGCCGAACCTGGGTTCGAACCCGCGCTATCGTCCCGCATGCATTCCACCAATGTACCATGTACCATGTATACGCCCGTCGCAAGAGAAGAACGCAAATCTGCAAATGCACTGGATGTGCACCCACAGATTTTCTCTTTGTAGCAACGATAGCGGATCTGATTCTGATTGAAACAGATCAAGACAAGCGCCAGATAACTGTCTAATCCACACAACTGGCGAAGCCATGTGAATCGACTCCCCGATGCACACCTGGTCTACACCACACGGAGTACATCGGAATAGGACGGCCAAGACAGTTACCTATGCACACCCTACACTTGCTGGGGTCACCAGTATAGACAGCACGCTGCTTTGATAAAAGCAGACACTAGATGCACCGGTACCTTGAAGTGAAATTGGAGTTATTTTACCAACCAGCCTCGGCAACTGGGTACCGGGAACCCAGGGCCAACAGACGTACCAACAACCTCAGCCATGAAAGCTATAATTATAGTAACACACTGGATTGTGGAGCCGAAACCTAGTCCAACTTCCAAAATGCTTTGGCAAAAGGGTAGCCTTCCGACAGGTTGGACCCCCAATACACTTCTCATACATACACATTCTTCCTAGTTGCTTCACGTTGTGATCTTGCAGCTGAAATCCCTATTTGAATAAGGTGGCCAGCTGTCTTCGATGGTACGGTACGGGACATATACGGGATAGCGTTAGTCATGCCGACGCCAGACAAAAACACACGATTACCAAAGTAAAGCGCTATGGACTCTGGCTAGCGAAAGACGTTACTAAAGTAACGTCTTTTGCATAGCTACGGGAATAACATCCTTTGGTCCAGGTTGTAGTGCTACTAGTGGTCCTCTGAGACAGGTGGTCATCTTGACGGGCTTTACTGGAATGGAAGCCATTCATTTCAGTACAGACCCTTACACTGCAGTTTATTAACTTTAAATGGGTTGGGGGAGGGGGGGAGGCACATTCTAATGGTAACCATAATTATACTTACATGTACCGCAAAATTCCGCCAGAGGGTCCCATCTCCCCCATCCGCCCCTCCTTGACTTCTTGCCAGGGAAGTGATTGATTGTCAGTTCCTCGTATGACTCTGTGATGCCGTACTCCACTGCAGACGCATGCTCGACCCTGTTGGAAATGTACGCAACGGTGCCCACCCTCTTGACCAGGATCGCACAAACCCTGAGTTTTGATGGGTCTGTACGACTCTTGACCTTTGGTCGGTGTCCGAGATGCACGGACAGTTTCCGTGGGGTGAGTAATTTTTCATGTAGTACTGAATGCGGTAAGGAGGACTCACCCATCCGCCCCTCTCACCTGTGCCTACTCGAAGGATGGCGGAGGTAGGGGTGTTCTGGCGGGATTTTACGGTACATGACTTGCATCTGAATGCAGCCCATATGTTTGGAAGCAGCTCATACAATCGAATGCAGCCTGTACATTTGAATGCAGCCCATACATTTGCATGGAGCCCATCATGTTACATTTGAATGGAGCCCATACATTTGAATAGATCCCATACATTTGAATAGACCCCATACATTTGCATGCAGCCCATACATTTGAATGGAGCTCATACATTTGCATGGAGCCCATCATGTGACATTTGAATGGATCCCATACATTTGAATGCAGCCCATACATTTGAATGGAGCCCATATATTTGAATAGACCCCATACATTTGCTTGCAGCCCATACATTTGCATCCCATACATTTGCTTGCAGCCCATACATTTGCATGCAGCCCATACATTTGAATGGAGCCCATACACTTGAATAGATCCCATACATTTGAATAGACCCCATACATTTACTTGCAGCCCATACATTTTCATGAAGCCCATACATTTGCATGCAGCCCATACATTTGAATACAACCCATACATTTGAATGGGGCCCACACAAACTGCACGCAGGAATCAAAATGGCGGCCAAACCTGAAAAATTTGGGCATAGGTCTGTTCCTTTTCCCGATTTTTTAATGATTTTTGGATTTTCTTCAAATGGATACTTTGTACCCCAACTATAATATAAGTTATTTCAAAGACAAGTTGTAAATTTCCCTCCCCATTGACAGGTGTTCCGTTCCATTTTTGGGTCAGCAATGAGACCAGGACATGAGGAAGCGGCCACTTTGAAGCAACACTGGAAAGTCAAAATTGCATGCAAGTAAAATAGTGAAAGGTGACAGCCTCAACTCAGGATCCATGCTCATTGCTGATTCATTGAAAATAAATAATAGGGGGGGGGGGAGGAGCTGCTGGCGACTCCATGACGTGGCTGGCCTTCATTGACGTTCCAAGCCGATAACCTGTACAGTCATACAGGCTAATGCAGGCTAATACATGTGCAAATTGAAAAGCAATGCAGCTATACAATCTTAGACGTCTACATGCGAAGGAGCACATCTGCCTTTCAGTACGTGTACCTGTATGCAATCACCACAAATCCTAGGTAGGGGTATTTCAAATTTCCACTGACAAGAAACGACCTGCAAATGATTCCCAGAATAGTGTGTGTGTGGGGGGGGGGGGGAAGGGGGGGGTGCTAGTGCTGGATAACGATCTTGAAAGACACCTAAACTCCCGAGCAAGGGGTCAGTCTAACAACATCAAATGTTACTATCCTTCCCTTTGAGAGCACAGTGGAAGCTTCAAATTGAGAAGTACCGGGTATGCATTTTGCAGGTGTGAATTCCCGGTGTACGACTCAACACTAGGGGTCAATCTGTGATTAAATTTCTACCTACAGTTAGTGTAAATTACGCTCTTCAAATCCTGCGCCTACTCGAAGTGTTCACTGTGGCCCAATGTGGGTGTGTGTGTGTGGGGGGGGGGGGGGGGGTGTATCTGAAAGATTTGCCAGGATATGGGATGTATGAAGTGCAGAATTTGCTGATGGCAATTGCACAAACTTGATATGACAATGACTGTCCTACTTGAATGTAGAAAGACATGCAACAAGTTGAAAGACATGCATCAAGTTGAAAGACATGCATCAAGTTGGCTCAGAAATTGCTTTACCTTTCTTAGAGCTGGGTGAAGGCAAATGCCGGTCTTCATCCAGCCCAAACAGTGATCATGCAGCTGGTATAGCATAGCTGTGCACGGACGGAAATAATGTTACTGACATCCGCAGGATAGAAAACGATGATGCCAGCAGCAGCATTGTGACACACACGACACGACCAGTCTTGTGATTGCTGGCATAACAACCTCGGCATTAGCGTGATGGATGATACACCCGACATTTGAGGACCAAGCGGTGCGAACAACTTGGCAGCGCTGATCACAGCCGTGGTAATGAGAAAGTCAATGTCGATAGTGGTAGTAGTGAGCCACAAAGTAGGTGGTACAGAGTTGGCTGATGCCAGTTATAGCGAAGCGCCAGTAGTAGCGAAGTATCCAGCATCAGTTGAAGTGAGATGTCCTGAATCGGCACTGGCTAGGTGGCCGGCATCGGTAGTAGCGAGGTGGCCGGCATCGGCAGTAGCAAGGTGGCCGGCATCGGTAGTAGCGAGGTGGCCGGCATCGGTAGTGGCGAGGTGGCCGGCATCGGTAGTAGCGAGGTGGCCTGCATCGGTAGTAGCGAGGTGGCCGGCATCGGTAGTTGCGAGGTGGCCGGCATCGGTAGTAGTGAGGTGGCCGGCATCGGTAGTAGCGAGGTGGTCGGCATCGGCATTAGCGAGATGGTCGGCATCGGCAGTAGCGAGATGGTCAGCATCGGCAGTAGCGAGATGGTCAGCATCGGTAGTAGCAAGATGGTCGGCATCGGTAGTAGCGAGATGGTCGGCATCTGTTGGAGTGATTGAAGAGATGATCTACCTGAGCAGGTACGAAGCAAACAGTTACGGATTTGCACAAGGTAGAGCATTTGGTTATAACAGTTTGCAAACACTCAAGAATTTTTTGGCAAGCACAGTAGTAATAAAGAGGTTGCAACATGCAGAAACGAAATTGTGCAACGTACCATTTCATTGGCTTATACTTAGCCGTGCTGCGGCGAATCCGGGTCCCTTGGTCTTCCATATCCAGCTGAGTGGGAAAATAAAATTACACAGCTTCACACAATGGATTAGAAGCATACACCCATGTGACAGCAGCCAATGATGACCATTGTCACATGGGGAACTAGCAAGCCAAAACAGCAGAATGCATACCCTACCAATGTCTACGTACGTACCACCCAAATATACGTTACCAGGGTGACGGGCGTTAGCGAGGCTGCCGTGGTGTCCGTAGAGTGCTTGAACCTACCTGAGTGGGAATGAATGAGCATGACACAATTGATTGGTTACATACACCCACACAACAGCAGCCTGTGACAGCCACTGTTGCATAGGGATAGTACGAGTAATAGACACGGGTACAAAACAACATGGTGTTGTACAATACACCAAGCATGCACTACAAAACAACATATTTACCAATGGTAGGTCTGATGACTTGACGCTGTAGCGCTGGTTGGATGTAGCGCTGGTTGAATATAGGAGAGATGACCTACAAGGCGCTTACCTGGCCCTGATCTATGCCTAGCTAACCTAGCAAAGAATGTGAAAAAGATCATAATAAGAATATACTAGAATTTTGAGTGAGAAAGATTAAATAGAATATGAATATTGTTTGGTATGAGGGTCAAATATTGTTCAGTGTTTGTGGTTGATACTTGATAGTCTGACTGGCTCCAGCCACCAGTTGCCGCCAATGCTTGACTGTTGCACTAATCATCGGCCGAGTGTGTGCCGCTCCACCTCGCTCCCCGCCGGCCGCATTGTTTAGTACAAGTTCTCGTACTCGTTGAGTGTGTAGTAGTGTGCTGGTCCCTGAGGTGTGTGTGTGTGGGAGCATACATGCAGGTGTGGAAATAGTAAGATTGATATGATTGTAGAATGCAATGGTACAGATCATTTCTACCACCAACAAATGAATTCATGATAAACTCGACCAAACATAATTTGGGATCGTGCATGATAGGTATTGCAATACTATTAGGGTAGGAATTACAATATTGCAGACTACAGTCCATATTGGGCATGGGTTGAGACACAGGCAATATAGGGCAAGGGTCGACTCGTGATGGCATACATAATATTACAGGAAACACCTCAAATGCATAAAAATCCAGTGATCAATAGCAGAAGTTGCCTTTCATGTTGCGGTTCTTCGTTTGCCGTAACATTTTCATTGGCAATCCCCCATAAAGCATACCAGGAATGTTTAAATGTGTTCGATTTGATTTGCAGACTAATTCAACTACTACAGAATACCTCTCCTTCCGACCTCATTTTGAGGCGAAAATTTGATCGGAGCCAGTCATGGAGTTGCCAGCAAGCTCCCCCCCCCCCCCCCCAATCCCTCCACTACCTTCCCTGAGCCCCGGGGGAATTGGAACGGAACACCTGCCATGTTTTGTCAGCTACATAGCAACAAGAAAATCTTGCTGCTATGAAGTGACCCCTCCCAAGTCTATAAAGAATAGGAAATCATAAAGTGAAGCATAGGTGGCAAATGACAAGCCTGGAACAAAAACACACAAGAGGGAGACACACCACAATACAAAATATCAGGGGCAGTTATGCAAGCATTCTCAAAAGAAATCCTAAATGAGGCCCCATCATAATTGTGATTGCCAGTTGTGCTAATTTACTCATTCAAAGTCACCTAGGCTAGGGCAAATCTGGCCTCTCCACTGCCTCCTCATTCCTATAGTGGCAGAAACAATGCAAATAGCCGAAAATCCTTCAATATATGGGTCGTGCAGACTCTTCTTGTTCACATTTGAGGTTGCACTGAGTCAGTCCAGGGAGTCTGGGTTTTCTTGCTGACAGGATCCAAATGAAGTTGTAAGTCTAGTATTTTGAAAGCGTTTGACTGGGGCTTTCCAGCCTAAACCCGGCCTATGTTGGGATTTCCTAGCTGCAAAGGTGATTTTACCAAACGGACTGTAAAGTATACTTCAAAGTACAACGGCATAATAGCTGTGAGGTTTGAAGGAGCTCAAATGGATACTTATCACGACACCGCGGCAAATCCTATTTCCCAGCCTCCACAGGGTTGTCCATAGCAAACTCGGCTAGACACACACAAGAAACGATGATACAGAACAGGGTCCATCGAGGAGAACTATTCAATAAGCTATAGTACCTTGCCTAATCTTTCACACTCGTATTAGTTGTTAGCTGTTCCACTGGACGTATAAACCTACAGAATTCACATTGCCCACAATCTCAAACTTGCCATTCCGCATCCATATGGTATCACCATTTCTCACAGGAAAGCTTAGTCAGATACTAGTAGTGCTAACAATGTGAGCATGTGTACCTGTGGGAAAGAGGGTGGGCGGCAGCAGCAGCCAAGTTCTTGATGAAGAAGCCTTGCTCCACTGTGCCGATGAACAAACAGTTCTGAACTCGTAGCCTGACCTGCGTTGTCCTGGTGGCAGTGGAGCGGGCTGGCTAACAATGCTTGGCATGGGTGTTTTTCAGTTGCTGGCGCTTTGCGTAGGATGTACTTCAGCCCGACATCTGACTGCACATTGCTCAGTGGTTGCAAAACACAATAAAACAGAAGTAAACAAGTGAATGTGTAATCCCCTGAAGGCATCCATGCATGGCCAGACGCAAGTGGAGAGGAGCACAGAAGGTACATGTACACCGTATCCTATCTGGAGGTGACCCCCCGCCCCCCCCCCCCCCCCCCCCGCCCACATACACACATGTACGCCTGCCTCATTCTGAAAGTGGACACAAAGGGTTTCATCTGGGTGCAGGCACCATCTTTCCTATTGCCGGGTTTCCACTTGGCCGATTTTTCGGCCGCCATGGAATCTGACGAAAAATCGTCAAGATCGGCGCCAAAATCACCTGGTGTGAGCGGAGTTGTCGTACAAGCCGTCAGGGATTGGTTGCAGGCCCGCTCCATCGCGTTAAAGCACTAACTAAAAATGGGGCGACTTTCGACCAAATATTGACCAGTCGAGAAATTGCCATTTTAATCATACCACGAGAAATTCACCACAGATTTGCCAGAAACCAATAATCCCTGACGGCTTTTTAACATGACAGCAGAGTGGGTCGGTACAGATAGAGAACTGGCTGGAGTGGATGGCTCCTACATATCAGGCTAGTTCAAGATTTTGGTCCTCTACCGCGTGAATAAAAAACCTCGTTTTGCTCTAGTATCTACTATGGCCTAGCGCCGCCGTGTAACGTTAGCAAGTGTACGTATGTACACAGACAGGCCAACAAGCAAAATCGCTCGGTGCTGTGGGTGAAGAGGTAGTCCGACTCGTCCGACACAGTCGGCTGATTTCATGTCTGAGTCCGTATCGGAGCATCGGGCAAAATATCGGCCCAGTGGGAACCTGGCTTAAGTTTGCACTTCAGTCTGTGGACTTGAGCCAAGTTGATACAGGGTGGTTCAATCTAGAGCTGGTACTCCCCCCCCCCCCCCCCCCCATCCCATCAAGTACTTGGACATCCGTGCTGCCGACTCCAAGCAAGTGGATACTGGGAGTGACTTCGGAATGGCATTTACCATGATGGCTGACTATACCATCTTGAAATAGCGCCTGACGCCCCTCGATACACTTGGAGACAGCTCCATTGAAGGGTTATTGGATGCTGGCCATGCATTGCATGGTTTCTGGTGTGGTTTGAAATGGAAATCCAAGACATCAATGATGGGGACTTTGCGCAGTCGGGTCTCAGTCTTCAGATACAGAGTTCCGAATGTCTACAGAAGGTGGACAGTGGTCTGGGTATGTAAATGTCACAGAGCCATCTTGTCTGATCTATCCTCCTTCCCCCACCGTTTAGGAGCCGCACCTGACACGTGAACATGGGGTTGTGGCGTCCCACGGAGGTGGAAACGTGGTTCTTGACCCACTCTGTACCCCGACCTGTGTCATTTTTTTAAGTTGCATTACTTGCCTATATTTGAACAGGGGATCCCTTCCTGAATTTAATGATTCAGCGGCAGAAGAGGATTGGATATCAAGATAACCAGCAACACTTCAACAGTACCTTTTGGTTGTGAGCAATGCCTGGTGCTGTTCCATAGCAATCACAATAGAATATCCAGAGGCCTAGCAAATTCTGCGAGGTGATGACAGTGGAATGGAATGCTGTCCGGTAGGCGGTGATTGAGAAGTCGACTTGAATGCTCGTGGCAATCCATCTGCACGTTGCTCAGCATTCACACACACACACACACACACACACACACACACACACACACAAACACACACACAGAAGAAATATCACCCATTGTATCATGATGTGGGAAAGCAGGCTGAGATAAATGACATGCCAGGCAATAGCGGGAGGGGAGGGGAGGGGAGGGTGTTAGACCTAAGATCAGTGCGGCCAATAGCAGCCAGTGCCAGGAGCATTGGTCAATTGTCTACTGGTCATACTTCAACATATTGAGATTAACTAGACGTTGGAAAGCTATTTCCAGTATCATCTGAAACGGAGTTATACTCCCACCATCATAGAGCACACATAGAGCAGCAATCAGGAACATCGGACATTAAATTGTTAACTGTATGCCTGCGAAGGGCTCATACCGGTACTCCGCCAACTGGGAACATAAAATTGTCAACTCTAACAACCGCCTGCTGGAGGATTAACATTAAACATATACAGAGATAGACAAGGGCACAAGTGGCTGTATCATCACCAAACCCATTGAAGAGGTCACACATACACAGGTACATGTACGTGGATGCTGGCAGTATGTGGCACACTTTCTACCATGGTTTGAAATGGACATGTAAATCTTGAAATGCGCTATCGCCAGTCGAATTCAGTATGGAAATTGCAAGAAAATGTCAGATGCGCTCAGGATATTGGATTTAGATATCACACAGAAACCTTCATTACTGCCCGCTGGTGCTTAGAGTTAACTGGTTAGCGGTTTAGCAAGCTGATAGTTTCAGAAGAGAATTAAAAAAAGAAGAAATCATAAAATCATAATGGGCAGCATGAGACCTCGATGCGAATCATCCAAAATCCATCAACTTGGTATTCACATGGTACATGGTATTCACTGAGAACATTTTGCGGACGCGCCATTTCGAAGTGCACCCTATCGCCAGCATCCAAACTTCTACACAATACAACTGTAGGTCAAATGGCCCCGTGAACTGAGCCTCTATCAGACTGTAGGTAGCATTGCTTTGTTGTACAAACAGCCACAGCTAACATGGCGATTTGTGACGCTGGTAAGCAACAGAACGTTCACCTAGACAGACATGTACAATTATATATATTATGTCGATCTACTAGTAAATGACATATTACGGTCAAGCAGCGCGTCCCTCCAAAGAAAGACGAGCACTTTTCATTTTCTAACACATATCGTATAGTGGACTTAAAGATAAAGAAAAGGACAAAATGTTACGAGTTATGACTAACTGTCCACCAACGTAACCAGATCATAATACAGTCAGTGAGTGCGACAAATAATCGTATAGTATTGTCGTTAGCGACCACAACACATGTACTATTAGGCACACTCGTGTGGATATACAACACTGTCTGACGTCACAGCAATAATTTCCACTCATGAAATTTCCACCAGACAAGCAAGAGCACAAGTCGTTGCACCTATTGCTTTGCGAGCGATGTCGTACAGTGTTACACTCTATAGCGATCAGACGCAGTCTCTTACGTGTAATCCGGTCGTCCTGCCAAGTTAACGTCACTATCCAGACCGACTCCACGACCCTTGAAAGATGGTAAACTACCTACAGAGGAGAAAAGAAGAAGTCGAAGAAATGCTTGACCGGAACAGTTTCGACTTTTTCAGGAAGCGCACTCTACCTTGTCCCGGCAACCGCCCGCAACAACGGAAGGGGTTCTACATTCTACAGCACCACAACTAGCAAGGCAGTCCAGTGCCGACAGACGGGTGCTTCGCTCTCCGACCATAACAAATTAGCCACGCGTTATCAGAAGTTTGCCACAAATTCAAAAACGACCAGGTAAAGAAGGTAAGTTGAACTCACACTGCCATGCGTCGCTCGTCGCTGACAAGTGCTCATCAAGACGAGGCGTATAGTTTTGATTACAAAGGGCTGTGGACTAATGGTCTTGACACGCCTCAACAAATGCAAGCCGAAATAGGGCGTAAAGAATTTAGCGACAGTTCAGACTGCAAGCCACAGAGCAACGGACGAATATCAACAGGTCGACAAATGAATTGCACGTGTTCTAGTACTTACATCAGTCTTCTTTCAACGGAACACGCTTCCACGTAACTCACGCATGCGCAGACCAACTGAGAATGGCAGCGACTTCTTCACTCGCCAGCAGGAGTCGTAAAAGCCCTGGTTTCGAGGAAAAAAAGAGAACAAAATAGCGAAGGCATCAAGATTGGGTACAGCTGCAATGGAGCAGCAGTGAAACACTGCATGCACAACAGCCGTGTGGTTGGCGGAGAACAGATACCTGCCATGGCCCAAACCAAAAAAAGAAGTTGATTCGGAAAGAAGAAGATTCAGAATTACTAGACAAACCCATGGCAAACGAAACCAACCACTTACTGACAATAGTGACTTTACTCCCTCGCACCCAGACGCTGATTTTTTGGAAACAAGTTTCTATACTTCCGATGGGAGAATCGGACATGGCAGTGCATTTCGGCGTGGCCAGGTCAAATTGTAGAATATCGCATCGAGTGAATTGCTTTATCTGAGAGAGGAGATGTTCGTGCCCTTGAGACCCGAAGTCCCGTTTCCATACGACAAAATTTAGGAGCTCTGCGCTCAGCGCTTTTTCAGGGTATGAATTTCGGGTTGTTCTGGTCGGGTCGCAGCGTCGCGGACTATTCCATCGTCTTCAGCGTCGAAAAACTACTGGCCATGTGAAATTACAAGGCGGTGAGACGCTTTCGTCTTCCTCTACGAGCGAATTTGTTCTGCGCCAGCATACCTAAGTATGCAATTTCGTACGCGCAGTTCGAGTGACGAGGCGTGTGCACTGTACACTGTACTGCATGCACGGACTGTGCGGTCGTTCTCGATTCTCCCATCGCTCCCATTCATTTCTGTTTCCAGCAAAAGTCCAACTTGGCGCACTTCAAATCACTATAACTCAAGAATGGCTGGGCCGATTCGAATAATACTTACAGATTTCCTATGTACTACGCCTGGGAGAATCGAATGAGACCAAAATCGAAGCGATCGGAGCAAGTTTTGGAAATTGGGTGTAGTCACTACTGACAATGAAGCCGCTGGGTGAAACTTCTCACGAAGCTGTTGTTACATAGCGCAAATCTGCCTTTACAGACACCCACCGTTTTGCCAGTCTTCTCCAAGACGCATAGCTTTTCGTCCAGTCCCTATCTATTTCAGGCCACAACCGCTCTGTTAGCGAGCGGTGTAGGTACTGGTTCGCCAATATTAGAGGCTACCTGAAACTTTTCATGATGGAGCATCGTATGCGTCAAGACAAGTCACAACTCAGTTTGCTTCAGGCACGAATCGCCAACCATCAGTTAGGAGGAGGAGAGAGAAAGCTGAAACGCAATCCATCTCCGACAACAACATCGAGGAAAATGAGTCGCTAGGCCTCGGCTCGAAAGAACTTCTGCAGCTGCGTAGATTCTACCAATTCCCGGGATGTGCACGGGGTCATGGGGTCACGGGTTCATCTCCTGGTAGACTGCTGGATAAGCAGTTGTACGGTTCCAGAAGACTGGAGAGCATTACGTACTCGCTGTCTATTGGTCAACGTTGGCTGAAATTATGAGAAAGCACGTGGCAGACTTGACCCGAGTCACCCGAAAATCATGATGCGATATCAGAGCTAGCTAGCTAGAGAGGTTGGGCACAACGAAAATTCGAGTAGATCTACTTTTAGGGGCCGTCCGTAAATATCGATGTTTTTTTAGAGACGATATTGGTGCGTCTGGGGGGGAGGGGGTTTGAGCCATGTGCGTCTTTTAGAGCATCAGAAAAATATCGATGTAAATATCTGAAGTTTCGCCGATCCCTGCACGCGGACGTCTAAATGGCTATACAAGAAATGTGAAACCAGCTTCCGTTCGCGGAGCTAAAACTCGCGACACAAGAACAAAATCAAAAATTGGAAGCTGTTCGCCCATGGCGAATTTCAACAGCAAAAGAATGAGCTATTGATTGTGGAAATCGGCCGAACGATGCTTGCAGGAGACCTTTTTCAAGACGTAGAGGCAGTGCGAACAAACACGGACGAACTCCACAAGAGTTTCCAGTCTTCACTGTCGACATGTCTGAACAAGGATTTGAAAAAATGAGCATCCAAAAATATTGATTCCATGATCTAGATGTACATGTGCGTCTTCTGGGGGGAGGGGGGGGGGTCAAGGGAGAGAAGCACCAATATCGTCTCTAAAAAAACATCGATATTTACGGACGGCCCCTTAACGAAAAAAGCTAACGAATATTCGTAAACCGTGAGGTTGCGCACATTCTCCTACTGCCCGGAAATATGCTGTGGTTGTGCCCACAAACAAGAACAAGGGAAGCAGTCATGATCCTGGTAACTATCGCCCTATCTCTCTGCTGACCACCTATTCCAAGATACTTGAGAGAATCGTCTCTGATCGGCTGTAGCAGTGTAGGTCTACCATTATCTGGCACCTCTGCTCCATGATATGCAATCTGGGTTCCGCCATGGTGACTTTACCTCCCTACATCTAACCAACCTCGTCCAGCGACCGTGCACCTTCCGAAACCGCCGGCATTACCTTAGCCTGTGTTTCTTCGACCTGGCGAAAGCGTTTGATCCAGTTTGGCATGGGGGGTTACTACTGTACTAGCCAAGCAGCATGCTTATGTTATGGGGTTATGGGGGGGGGGGGTCATCGGCCGCCTGCAGTCGTGGCTTGCCTCACATCTCAACAATAGAACACCAATAGAACTCAATCAGTAAAGCTTGGTCTAGTCCTCTCTGATTCTCTCCCTGTTTTGCGCTGGTGTACCGCAAGGGTCCACCCTACTCCCTAGGACCGCTACTGTTCCTGGCCTTCGTCAACGACCTCCCTGTCCTCAACCCTGGCGTGCCTCTGTTTGCAGACGACAACTGTATGCTGCGCGTGAACTTCTTCGTAGCAGGTCGACGCGGCGCGCGCACGGGTGCGGAGAGTCAAGGCATGAAGTTGTAAAATATCAGTATTATTTTTAGTATTTAAACAATCGACGGGGAGACAATAGTCGTAAAATGGCAATAAATAAGATAAATTGTGCACTCATAACAACAGCAAAAATGAAGAAAGTCAAGTTAGTTCCATAACGTTTTCTTGTGACTGTCATCAGTGGAACGCCGTCACATAAAAATGTAATAACTAAAACATACACTTATATACATGTAGCTAATATGGTTTCAGGTAGAAAAACAGCAGCTAACAAGTACAAAAAGCGAAGTTTGCACCTTTGCAATGTGTGAATATAGTGTATGTGAGAAAGTTAGTGGCAGATGAATGTGATACTGTGTGAATGAATGTAATGGTGCGTGTGTATTACTTGAAGAGTGTGAGTGATACAACGTTTTCTTTCTGTTTACATAGCACAGGGTCACGAGTACGAATATACACAGCTTCCAACACCTGCTATATTCACACATTGCAAAGGTGCAAACTTCGCGTTTTGTACTTGTTAGCTGCTGTATTTCTACCTGAAACCATATTAGCTACATGTATATAAGTGTGTGTTTTAGTTTGTAAGAAAGGGTTTGCTCCCCACACCGGAGCTCGCGCTATTCCGCCGACTTTACTTGACACTTGTTTTAGTTATTACATTTTTATGTGACGGCGTTCCACTGATGACAGTCACAAGAAAACGTTATGGAACTTGACTTTCTTCATTTTTGCTGTTGTTACGAGTGCACAATTTATCTTATTTATTGCCATTTTAGTATTTTAGTACTCCAAATTACGAAAAACATTTTCATAGATCTGTCTGTTTCAGTCACGTTTGGACGGATCTTCGTAGCAGCTTTCGTTACTCGAACCCGGACGGTCGAAATCTTACGAATTTTCGTTGTGCGCAATCTCTCTACTATAATATTAGTACTAATCTGTAGGGTCAAGTATACCACCGTGCATCGGAGCACCGCTGACCGGTTTGCAGTAGAGTAGATCTACTGTCGGTCGCCGAAGAACTTGGCCGGTGGGGGGTCAGCCCCGTAGCCTACTTACACAAAGGGTTAACTAACTTGTAGCAAGAGTACAATATTATAATATCAAGAGTATATAACGTACAACTGCGACACTGCACCACGTGATGTGAGTTTTCGCCGTCGGCGTACCCCATAGAAAGGGTATCAGGAGTTGCACACTCTTGGGGTGTTAAATACTCTTGATAATATTGTATAATGGTTGTAATGTGAGCACAACTGACACGTTTCTGCGTTATGCTAACGTATGGATGCGTGCTCATGGTCGCGCTGTTATTTCTGACATGATGCGAAAGTTCAGCTCGCGTTGTTTGGCTCTCGCGTTGGAAAACAACGCGAGTGACCTGCACTGCTCGCGTTAAAGTTTGGAGTTCTACGCCAAACTTGACGTGAAAATGCGCGTCAAATCAGAATAATGTGCATCTTAACCTCTCTATTGCAGTCCCCGAAGATGAGCGAACGTGGTTAGGGGTATTAGCCAGGCACACGCTGACCTGGATTCGAGTGGGTTACTTGGGTCCACATGAGTGTTCACTCGTGTCCAAATCAGGGTAGGTTTTAACCAGCTATACACTCAAATATCTCTTGGCATACTACTGTTGCATTCGATGAAATCCTACCCAGAGTGCACATTTGGCGCCCTCAATCTGCACGACCCATGACGCCCTGGATGTGGCACGAATGCGGCCGGTTGTACACATGTACAAATACTTCAGTACAAAGATGTAATCGGGACGTGTCCAGGGCGCCAGTTTTGCACTTCGGGTCGGATTTCAGCGAGCACTGTAGTGCAAACAAAAGGGAACATGCATGGAAATTGCACATTACACACAGCACACAGATCACAGATCACAGCACACAGATAAAAGCACACAGATCACAGCACACAGCACACAGCACACACACACAGCACACAGCACACAGCACACAGCACACAGAACACAGAACACAGCTTCCTGTACGCTGTAGATATCAATACAGGACATTAAAAACAAGTATGATAAATAGGGGTGAAAGTTGGCACTGAGATCATGTTCACCGAACAGTCTTCATTTCAATATCTACTGACTGCTGCTCTGAAACTGAAGATTTCTGTGGTAAATGCATGTACCATGTAAAACAACAATGAAGATGCAATGGAGGACATTCTGTTCCTGGATGATTCGCTGCTGGGGCGTATGCTGTATAGAAAATGCCCAATTCTTGTGGGCAATGGCTTCACTTGCTGGATTTATTTATCGTTAGGGGTGAGACAATTATACCGAATATTGGATTCGAGTACGCGCTCGTTTTTTTCAATAATAATCATATTCGAAATAAATCAGATTACTAGTACTTGTTTTTTTAAGGTGCTCACTTTGTAAAGTGCACTGCAGGCTGCTGCTGCTGCTGCTGCTGAAGACTGAGCCACTCTGACTGATGCTTGGCATTGCTGCTGTGAGCAGTGTGTCCACTGGTTTTCAAACTAATGCACTCAGTGTCTGGTGCAGCAGATGCAGAGTGTGTTGCTGCCATGGCAACTTCTCTTGCCGCTGTGTCTGCTCCAGTGCTAGCTGCAATGGCAGCTGCTCTTACTTCTGTGTCCGTTGCAGTGTTAGCGATGGTGGGCTCAGCTGCTATATCTGCTGGGGTAGCTACTGGCCTGCTACTAAGCGGCCATCAACGCGGGCAATGTTGCAGGAGCAGGATCCATATCCATGATACCCTCAAAGATCTATAGTGACAACTTGGCAGGTGAACTCCTGCATCCGTCAACACAGGTCTAGCGGCTGTACTGATCATGTGATACACGGTAGGTCACTAAGCTCAGGAAAGCGATTCTCTGCTCAGGACAATTCCAACAGCAACCGTCGCTCGCATATACCAGCAGAATGCTGGCTGCTGCATTGTTTGAGCTGCTACCGGATATGTACATCCGTAGCTTTCTGTCACGCCGCAGTTAGGGTTATTGTGATTTGGCAAGAGTGTGCAAACATGCTATGAAGCCACGTTCATCGAAGCTTGAAGGGAATGGCAGATGACACAATTTGCACAGGTAAGCTGTACAGGAACCAGCAGAAAAGAAGCACACGCAGACACACACACATACACACACACACACACACACACACACACATACACAAACACACATACACACACACACACACATAAACACACACACACACCTCAGACCTCAGACCTGCCCATCGCGGAAACGATGATAGCGAACGGCTATGTTAGACATAGCAACTTGTGCTGGGATTACACCATTCAACAGCTTGCAAGGCTGATGAATTGACCGCCACTAATTTTAGCCTGGTATCCACCACACAGAGTGATAGAAGTGGCTTTTTCTGGCCAGTGAATCCCTATTTTTAATTTTTTTAATTTTTTAATTTTTTTACACGCACGCCACACCACATACTCCGGCATACACTGGCTGTTGGTAACCACCCAGGAGAATGAAAGAAGAGCTAGGAGAATGAGAAAGAGAAGAAAGACGTGTGCGGCCGAAATCGTCGGGAACACACACACACACACACTGTACTGTACTGTACTTGTTGCTCACTGCCAAAACTGGTCACGTGAGTCCCCCCGGGAGAGGGGAGAGAGACTCAAAAGGAATCTTGGAAAGATGACTCAATTGGTTATTGAACCGCCCAACGGCCGACACCCCTGAAATCCCCAAAACGCTGGGTGGACTTGAAAATGATCCCACTTATGGGCTCACCACACCTCAGTAAGTGGGTGAGGACAAGGTGCAGAAAAAGGACACACACACACACACATACATACACACACATACACACACGCATACACATACACGTGCACAAAGTAACCATGTGAGATTACATACACACACACACACCTAAAGGAGGCCTATTGGTATTTGTTGGATCTCTGCAGCGAGTCGAAAAGCATAATTACAAGCGGTCGCAGAGGACTCGCGGAAGATATATGCCAGCATCTACAGGAGGGTAGCCATGATGACAAAGCGCCGTATACTTCAGCCGTTAGGCGCTGCATCTGCCGCTAGGGTTTACCGGGTGTTAGCGGCCGTCGTGAGTTCCTTTTGGGAACGGACAGGATAATTTACTTTTTTTACTTTACTTCAGCGCCAGCAGATAAGCGCCGAATATGTCAGCGTCACATAAATCAGCGCCAGATACAGTTGCGCTCGGTGAAATCCGGCCCGAAGTGCAAAGCCGGCGCCGCGAAGCCAGCTCCCATTACATCACTGGCGATTTGTGTGTATGAACTCAACTGTACGCACCTCGTGTAAAAGTTCGGAGTGCACGTGTTGCATGCTAAAACAGTTCAAAATTTCTTTCATTCACTTCACGAAGTACAGCTCAAGATCTAGAAGAGATAGAGAAGGACACGGCCATTCCCAATTTGTGGGCTCCTCTCAAGAAGAGAATAATTCCACATCGCTGCGAGAATGCTGACCAGCTGGTGCGGGCACTGCACCTGGAGTGGGACTCGTTGGCTCCTGACACGGTTTCCCCATACGTGGAGTCAATGCCACGTCGTGTTGAAGCCCTAATTGAAGCAGACGGTGGCCACACAAAACATTGAAGCCCTGCTGCTCTGTGTATGAAATAATCTGCTTCGAAACGATCTCCGTAACCAATCTCACAGTTTGGGGCATTTTACCCGTGAATCTTCACTTTTGGACTAAACTATTCTCAGCAGTACCAAACTTTCTGGGTCACTGGATGTGGATGCCAGCGCCCTACAAGAAAATCAAAAATTAAATCAATGCGGCCACTGACATTACAGGTGGGTTATGTTATAGAGAGGTACATTGAAATTCAAAGGTCAGCACAAATGCTCAAAATCCGACATTTTCTCACCTTTCTGCCCGTTCACAGCTCAGGAAATGACAATGACCATCGTCATATCCTTTTCTAGCTGGACATAGACAAATGCACCAAGAAAAAGAGCCACATTTCTCTAAAGAACTTGCCCAGGGCTGCTGAAAGCTGAAAAATAACCAATCTCACAGTTTCGGGCTTTTAACCCGTTAATCTTCACTTTACGACTAAACTATTCACAGCAGTGCCAAGTTTTCTGGGCCACTGAATGTGGCTGCCACCGTCATACAAGCAAACCAAAAATCAAATAAATACCACCACTCACATTACAGCTGGGTCATGTTATAGAGAGGTACATTGAAATTCAAAGGTCAGCACAAATGGTCAAAATCCGACATTTCCTCACCTTTCTGCCCGTTCGCAGCTCAGAAAATGACAATGACCATCCTCATCTCAATGTGTAGCTGTACATAGACAAGTGGACCAAAAAAGAGACCCATTTCTCTAACGAACTCGCCCAGGGCTGCTGAAAGCTGAAAAATAACCAATCTCACAGTTTGGGGCTTTTTACCCGTGAATCTTCACTTTGCGACTAAACTATTCACAGCAGTGCCAAACTTTCTGGGTCACTGAATGTGGGTGCCAGCGCCCTACAAGCAAACAAAAAATCAAATCAATGCGACCACTGACATTACACCTGGGTCATGTTATAGAGAGGTAAATTGAAATTCAAAGGACAGCACAAATGGTCAAAATCAGACATTTTCTCCCCTTTCCCCTTTTTTTTGCCCGTTTGCAGCTCAGAAAATGACAATGACCAACCGCATCTCGTTGTGCACCTGGACATAGACAAATGCACCAAGAAAAAGAGCCACATTTCTCTAAAGAACTTGCCCAGGGCTGCTGAAAGCTGAAAAATAACCAATCTCACAGTTTGGGGCTTTTTACCCGTGAATCTTCACTTTGCGACTAAACTATTCACAGCAGTGCCAAATTTGTTGGGTCACAGAATGTAGGTGCCAGCGCCCTGCAAGCAAACTTTAAATCAAATCAATGCGACCACTGACATTACAGCTGGGTCATGTTATAGAGAGGTACATTGAAATTCAAAGGTCAGCACAAATGGTCAAAATCCGACATTTTCTCACCTTCCTGCCCGTTCACAGCTCAGAAAATGACAATGACCAGCCTTATCATGTTGTGCAGCTGGACATAGACAAGTGCACCAAGAAAAAGAGCCACATTTCTCTAAAGAACTTGCCCAGGGCTGCTGAAAGCTGAAAAATAACAAATCTCACAGTTTGGGGCTTTTTACATGTGAATCTTCAATTTGCGACTAAACTATTCACAGCAGTGCCCAATTTTCTGGGTCACTGAATGTGGATGCCAGCGCCCTACAAGCAAACCAAAAATCAAATCAATGCGACCACTGACATTACAGCTGGGTCATGTTATAGAGAGGTACATTGAAATTCAAAGGTCAGCACAAATGGTCAAAATCCGACATTTTCTCACCTTCCTGCCCGTTCACAGCTCAGAAAATGACAATGACCAGCCTCATCTTGTAGTGCAGCTGGACATAGACACGTGCACCAAGAAAGAGAGCCATATTTCTCTAAAGAACTTGCCCAGGGCTGCTGAAAGCTGAAAATAACAAATCTCACAGTTTGGGGCTTTTTACCCGTGAATCTTCACTTTGCGACTAAACTATTCACAGCAGTGCCAAATTTTTTGGGTCACTGAATGTGGGTGTCAGCGCTCTACAAGCAAACCAAAAATCAAATCAATGCGACCACTGACATTACAGCTGGGTCATGTTATAGAGAGGTACATTGAAATTCAAAGGTCAGCACAAATGGTCAAAATCCGACATTTTCTCACCTTCCTGCCCGTTCACAGCTCAGAAAATGACAATGACCAGTCTCATCTTGTTGTGCAGCTGGACATAGACAAGTGCACCAAGAAAAAGAGCCACATTTCTCTAAAGAACTTGCCCAGGGCTGCTGAAAGCTGAAAAATAACCAATCTCACAGTTTGGGGCTTTTTGCCCGTGAATCTTCACTTTGCGACTAAACTATTCACAGCAGTTCCAAATTTTTTTGGTCACTGAATGTGGGTGCCAGCGCCCTACAAGCAAACCAAAAATCAAATCAATGCTATTACTGACATTACAGCTGGGTCATGTTATAGAGAGGTACATTGAAATTCAAAGGTCAGCACAAATGGTCAAAATCCGACATTTTCTCACCTTCCTGCCCGTTCACAGCTCAGAAAATGACAATGACCAGCCTTATCATGTTGTGCAGCTGGACATAGACAAGTGCACCAAGAAAAAGAGCCACATTTCTCTAAAGAACTTGCCCAGGGCTGCTGAAAGCTGAAAAATAACAAATCTCACAGTTTGGGGCTTTTTACCCGTGAATCTTCAATTTGCGACTAAACTATTCACAGCAGTGCCCAATTTTCTGGGTCACTGAATGTGGATGCCAGCGCCCTACAAGCAAACCAAAAATCAAATCAATGCGACCACTGACATTACAGCTGGGTCATGTTATAGAGAGGTACATTGAAATTCAAAGGTCAGCACAAATGGTCAAAATCCGACATTTTCTCACCTTCCTGCCCGTTCACAGCTCAGAAAATGACAATGACCAGCCTCATCTTGTAGTGCAGCTGGACATAGACACGTGCACCAAGAAAGAGAGCCATATTTCTCTAAAGAACTTGCCCAGGGCTGCTGAAAGCTGAAAATAACAAATCTCACAGTTTGGGGCTTTTTACCCGTGAATCTTCACTTTGCGACTAAACTATTCACAGCAGTGCCAAATTTTTTGGGTCACTGAATGTGGGTGTCAGCGCTCTACAAGCAAACCAAAAATCAAATCAATGCGACCACTGACATTACAGCTGGGTCATGTTATAGAGAGGTACATTGAAATTCAAAGGTCAGCACAAATGGTCAAAATCCGACATTTTCTCACCTTCCTGCCCGTTCACAGCTCAGAAAATGACAATGACCAGTCTCATCTTGTTGTGCAGCTGGACATAGACAAGTGCACCAAGAAAAAGAGCCACATTTCTCTAAAGAACTTGCCCAGGGCTGCTGAAAGCTGAAAAATAACAAATCTCACAGTTTGGGGCTTTTTACCCGTGAATCTTCAATTTGCGACTAAACTATTCACAGCAGTGCCCAATTTTCTGGGTCACTGAATGTGGATGCCAGCGCCCTACAAGCAAACCAAAAATCAAATCAATGCGATCACTGACATTACAGCTGGGTCATGTTATAGAGAGGTACATTGAAATTCAAAGGTTGTTTATTGAAATGTGGAATTTTTTCTTGGTTCACTTCCCTCTGTCCAGCTAAACAACAAGATCAGGGTGGCGATGGTCAGTTCTTGAGCTTCGAACGGGAAGAACGGTGAGAAATTGTCGCTTTTTGCCCATTTGTGCCCACATGTTACTTTCAACGTACCTCTCTCTAACATGACCCAGCTGTGATGTGAGTGGTCGCATTGATTTGATTTTTGGTTTGCTTGTAGGCCGCTGGCACCCGCATTCAGTGACGATGAAAATTTATCCACTGCTGTGAATAGTTTAGTCACAAAGTGAAGAATCACAGGCAAAAAGGCCCAAAACTTTGAGATAGTTTGATATCAGCTTTGAGCAGCCCTTGGCGAATTGTTTATTGAAATGTGGAATTTTTTCTTGGTTCACTTCCCTATGTCCAGATAAACAACAAGATGAGGGTGGCGATGGTCAGTTCTTGAGCTTCGAACGGGCAGATAGGTGAGAAATTGTCGCTTTTTGCCCATTTGTGCCCACGTGTCACTTTCAACGTACCTCTCTATAACATGACCCAGCTGTGATGTGAGTGGTCGCATTGATTTGATTTTTGGTTTGCTTGTAGGCCGCTGGCACCCGCATTCAGTGACTACGAAAATTTGGCACTGCTGTGAATAGTTTAGTCGCAAAGTGAAGAATCACGGGCAAAAAGGCCCAAAACTTCGAGATAGTTTGATATCAGCTTTGAGCAGCCCTGGGCGAAGTGTTTATTGAAATGTGGAATTTTATCTTGGTGCACTTCCCTATGTCCAGCTAAACAACAAGATCAGGGTGGCCATAGTCAGTTCTTGAGCTTCGAACGGGCAGAAAGGTGAGAAATTGTCGCTTTTTCTCCCATTTGTGCCCACGTGCCACTTTCAACGTACCTCTCTATAACATGACCCAGCTGTGATGTGAGTGGTCGCATTGATTTGATTTTTGGTTTGCTTGTAGGCCGCTGGCACCCGCATTCAGTAATGCCGAAAATTTGGCACTGCTGTGAATAGTTTAGTCGCAAAGTGAAGAATCACGGGCAAAAAGGCCCAAAACTTCGAGATAGATTGATATCAGCTTTGAGCAGCCCTGGGCGAAGTGTTTATTGAAATGTGGAATTTTTTCTTGGTTCACTTCCCTATGTCCAGTTGAACAACAAGATGAGGGTGGCGATGGTCAGTTCTTGTGCTTCGAACGAGCAGAAAGGTGAGAAATTGTCGCTTTTTGCCCATTTGTGCCCACGTGTCACTTTCAACGTACCTCTCTATAACATGACCCAGCTATGATGTGAGTGGTCGCATTGATTTGATTTTTTGTTTGCTTGTAGGCCGCTGGCACCCGCATTCAGTAATGCCAAAAATTTGGCACTGCTGTGAATAGTTTAGTCCCAAAGTGAAGAATCACGGGCAAAAAGGCCCAAAACTTCGAGATAGTTTGATATAAGCTTTGAGCAGCCCTGGTCGAAGTGTTTATTGAAATGTGGAATTTTTTCTTGGTGCACTTCCCTATGTCCAGCTAAACAACAAGATCAGGGTGGCGATGGTCAGTTCTTGAGCTTCGAACGGACAGAAAGGTGAGAAATTGTCGCTTTTTCTCCCATTTGTGCCCACGTGTCACTTTCAACGTACCTCTCTATAACATGACCCAGCTGTGATGTAAGTGGTCGCATTGATTTGATTTTTGGTTTGCTTGTAGGCCGCTGGCACCTGCATTCAGTGATGCCGAAAAGTTGGCACTGCTGTGAATAGTTTAGTCGGAAAGTGAAGAATCATGGGCAAAAAGGCCCAAAACTTCGAGATAGTTTTATTTCAGCTTTGAGCAGCCCTGGGCGAAGTGTTTATTGAAATGTGGAATTTTTCTTGGTGCACTTCCCTATGTCCAGCTAAACAACAAGGTCCGGGTGGCCATAGTCAGTTCTTGAGCTTCGAACGGGCAGAAAGGTGAGAAATTGTCGCTTTTTCTCCCATTTGTGCCCACGTGTCACTTTCAACGTACCTCTCTATAACATGACCCAGCTGTGATGTGAGTGGTCGCATTGATTTGATTTTTGGTTTGTTTGTAGGCCGCTGGCAGCTGCACTAGGTAATGCCGAAAAATTGGCACTGCTGTGAATAGTTTAGTCGCAAAGTAAAGAATCACGGGCAAAAAGGCCCAAAACTTCGAGATAGTTTGATATCAGCTTTGAGCGGCTCTGGGCGAGTTGTTTATTGAAATGTGGAATTTTTTCGTGGTTCACTTCCCTATGTCCAGCTAAACAACAAGATCAGGGTGGCGATGGTCAGTTCTTGAGCTTCAAACGGGCAGAAAGGTGAGAAATTGTGTCTTTTTGCCCATTTGTGCCCAAGTGTCACTTTTAACGTACCTCTCTATAACATGACCCAGCTGTGATGTGAGTGGTCGCATTGATTTGATTTTTGGTTTGCTTGTAGACCGCTGGCACCCGCATTCAGTAATGCCGAAAATTAGCCACTGCTGTGAATAGTTTAGTCCCAAAGTGAAGAATCACGGGCAAAAAGGCCCAAAACTTCGAGATAGTTTGATATCAGCTTTGAGCAGCCCTGGGCGAGTTGTTTATTGAAATGTGGAATTTTTTCTTGGTACACTTCCCTATATCCAGCTTAACAACAAGATCAGGGTGGCGATGGTCAGTTCTTGAGCTTCGAACGGGCAGATAGATGAGAAATTGTCGCTTTTTGCCCATTTGTGCCCACGTGTCACTTTCAACGTACCTCTCTATAACATGACCCAGCTGTGATGTGAGTGGTCGCATTGATTTGATTTTTGGTTTGCTTGTAGACCGCTGGCACACGCATTCAGTGACTATGAAAATTTGGCACTGCTGTGAATAGTTTAGTCGAAAAGTGAAGAATCACGGGCAAAAAGGCCCAAAACTTCGAGATAGTTTGATATCAGCTTTGAGCAGCCCTGGGCGAAGTGTTTATTGAAATGTGGAATTTTTTCTTGGTGGACTTCCCTACGTCCAGCAAAACAACAAGATCAGGGTGAAGATGGTCAGTTCTTGAGCTTCGAACGGGCAGATAGGTGAGAAATTGTCGCTTTTTGCCCAATTTGTGCCCACGTGTCACTTTCAACGTACCTCTCTATAGCATGACCCAGCTGTGATGTGAGTGGTCGCATTGATTTGATTTTTGGTTTGCTTGTAGGCCGCTAGCACCCGCATTCAGTGATGCCGAAAAGTTGGCACTGCTGTGAATAGTTTAGTCGCAAAGTGAAGAATCACGGGCAAAAAGGCCCAAAACTTCGAGATAGTTTGATATCAGCTTTGAGCAGCCCTGGGCGAGGTGTTTATTGAAATGTGGAATTTTTCTTGGTGCACTTCCCTATGTCCAGCTAAAAAACAAGATCAGGGTGGCCATAGTCAGTTCTTGAGCTTCGAACGGGCAGAAAGGTGAGAAATTGTCGCTTTTTCTCCCATTTGTGCCCACGTGTCACTTTCAACGTACCTCTCTATAACATGACCCAGCTGTGATGTGAGTGGTCGCATTGATTTGATTTTTGGTTTGTTTGTAGGCCGCTGGCACCCGCATTCAGTAATGCTGAAAATTTGGCACCGCTATGAATAGTTTAGTTGCAAAGTGAAGAATCACGGGCAAAAAGGCCCAAAACTTCGAGATAGTTTGATATCAGCTTTGAGCAGCCCTGGGCGAAGTGTTTATTGAAATGTGGAATTTTTTCTTGGTTCACTTCCCTATGTCCAGTTGAACAACAAGATGAGGGTGGCGATGGTCAGTTCTTGAGCTTCGAACGGGCAGAAAGGTAAGAAATTGTCGCTTTTTGCCCATTTGTGCCCACGTGTCACTTTCAACGTACCTCTCTATAACATGACCCAGCTGTGATGTGAGTGGTCGCATTGATTTGATTTTTGGTTTGCTTGTAGGCCGCTGGCACTCGCATTCAGTAATGCCAAAAATTTGGCACTGCTGTGAATAGTTTAGTCCCAAAGTGAAGAATCACGGGCAAAAAGGCCCAAAACTTCGAGATAGTTTGATATCAGCTTTGAGCAGCCCTGGGCAAGTTGTTTATTGAAATGTGGAATTTTTCTTGGTGCACTTCCCTATGTCCAGCTAAAAAACAAGATCAGGGTGGCCATAGTCAGTTCTTGAGCTTCGAACGGGCAGAAAGGTGAGAAATTGTCGCATTTTCTCCCATTTGTGCCCACGTGTCACTTTCAACGTACCTCTCTATAACATGACCCAGCTGTGATGTGAGTGGTCGCATTGATTTTATTTTTGGTTTGCTTGTAGGCCGCTGGCACCCGCATTCAGTAATGCCGAAAATTTGGCACTGCTATGAATAGTTTAGTTGCAAAGTGAAGAATCACGGGCAAAAAGGCCCAAAACTTCGAGATAGTTTGATATCAGCTTTGAGCAGCCCTGGGCGAAGTGTTTATTGAAATGTGGAATTTTTTCTTGGTGCACTTCCCTATGTCCAGTTGAACAACAAGATAAGGGTGGCGATGGTCAGTTCTTGAGCTTCAAACGAGCAGAAAGGTGAGAAATTGTCGCTTTTTGCCCATTTGTGCCCACGTGTCACTTTCAACGTACCTCTCTATAACATGACCCAGCTGTGATGTGAGTGGTCGCATTGATTTGATTTTTTGTTTGCTTGTAGGCCGCTGGCACCCGCATTCAGTAATGCCAAAAATTTGGCACTGCTGTGAATAGTTTAGTCCCAAAGTGAAGAATCACGGGCAAAAGGCCCAAAACTTCGAGATAGTTTGATATCAGCTTTGAGCAGGCCTGGGCAAGTTGTTTATTGAAATGTGGAATTTTTCTTGGTTCACTCCCCTATGTCCAGCTAAACAACAAGATCAGGGTGGTGATGGTCAGTTCGTGAGCTTCGAACGGGCAGAAAGGTGAGAAATTGTCGCTTTTTGCCCATTTGTGCCCACGTGTCACTTTCAACGTACCTCTCTATAACATGACCCAGCTGTGATGTGAGTGGTCGCATTGATTTGATTTTTGGTTTGCTTGTAGGCCTCTGGCACCCGCATTCAGTGACTACGAAAATTTGGCCATGCTGAGAATAGTTTAGTCGCAAAGTGAAGAATCACGGGCAAAAAGGCCCAAAACTTCGAGATAGTTTGATATAAGCTTTGAGCAGCCCTGGGCGAAGGGTTTATTGAAATGTGGAATTGTTTCTTGGCGCACTTCCCTATGTCCAGCTAAACAACAAGATCAGGGTGGCGATGGTTAGTTCTTGAGCTTCGAACAGGCAGAAAGGTGAGGAATTGTCGCTTTTTGCCCATTTGTGCCCACGTGTCACTTTCAACGTACCTCTCTATAACATGACCCAGCTGTGATGGGAGTTGTCGCATTGATTTGATTTTAGGTTTGCTTGTAGGCCGCTAGCAACCGCATTCAGTGATGCCGAAAAGTTGGCACTGCTGTGGCAAAAAGGCCCAAAACTTCGAGATAGTTTCATTTCAGCTTTGAGCAGCCCTGCGCGAAGTGTTTATTGAAATGTGGAATTTTTCTTGGTGCACTTCCCTATGTCCAGCTAAACAACAAGATCCGGGTGGCCATAGTCAGTTCTTGAGCTTCGAACGGGCAGAAAGGTGAGACATTGTCGCTTTTTCTCCCATTTGTGCCCACGTGTCACTTTCAACGTACCTCTCTATAACATGACCCAGCTGTGATGTGAGTGGTCGCATTGATTTGATTTTTGGTTTGCTTGTAGGCCGCTGGCACCCGCATTCAGTGATGCCGAAAATTTGGCACTGCTGTGAATACTTTAGTCGCAAAGTGAAGAATCACGGGCAAAAAGGCCCAAAGCTTCGAGATAGTTTGATATCAGCTTTGAGCAGCCCTGGGCGAAGTTTTTATTGAAATGTGGAATTTTTTCTTGGTGCGCTTCCCTATGTCCAGCTAAACAACAAGATGAGGGTGGCGATGGTCAGTTCTTGAGCTTCGAACCGGCAGAAAGGTGAGAAATTGTCGCTTTTTGCCCATTTGTGCCCACGTGTCACTTTCAACGTACCTCTCTATAACATGACCCAGCTGTGATGTGAGTGGTCGCATTGATTTGATTTTTGGTTTGCTTGTAGGCCGCTGACACCCGCATTCGGTGACGCCCAAAATTTGGCACTGCTGTGAATAGTTTAGTCGCAAAGTGAAGAATCACAGCCAAAAAGGCCCAAAACTTCGAGACAGTTTTATTTCAGCTTTCAGCAGCCCTGGGCGAAGTGTTTATTGAAATGTGGAATTTTTCTTGGTGCACTTCCCTATGTGCAGCTAAACAACAAGATCAGGGTGGCCATGGTCACTTCTTGAGCTTCGAACGGGCAGAAAGGTGAGAAATTGTCGCTTTTTCTCCCATTTGTGCCCACGTGTCACTTTCAACATACCTCTCTATAACATGAACCAGTTGAGATGTGAGTGGTCGCATTGATTTGATTTTTGGTTTGCTCGTAGGCAGCTGGCACCTGCATTCAGTAATGCCGAAAAATTGGCACTGCTGTGAATAGTTTAGTCGCAAAGTGAAGAATCACGGGCAAAGAGGCCCAAAACTTCGAGATAGTTTGATATCAGCTTTGAGCAGCCCTGGGCAAAGTGTTTATTGAAACGTGGAATTTTTTCTTGGTTCACTTCCCTATGTCCAGCTAAACAACAAGATCAGGGCGGCGATGGTCAGTTCTTGAGCTTCGAACGGGCAGAAAGGTGAGAAATTGTCGCTTTTTGCCCATTTGTGCCCACGTGTCACTTTCAACGTACCTCTCTATAACATGACCCAGCTGTGATGTGAGTGGTCGCATTGATTTGATTTTTGGTTTGCTTGTAGGCCGCTGACACCCGCATTCGGTGACGCCCAAAATTTGGCACTGCTGTGAATAGTTTAGTCGCAAAGTGAAGAATCACAGCCAAAAAGGCCCAAAACTTCGAGACAGTTTTATTTCAGCTTTCAGCAGCCCTGGGCGAAGTGTTTATTGAAATGTGGAATTTTTCTTGGTGCACTTCCCTATGTGCAGCTAAACAACAAGATCAGGGTGGCCATGGTCACTTCTTGAGCTTCGAACGGGCAGAAAGGTGAGAAATTGTCGCTTTTTCTCCCATTTGTGCCCACGTGTCACTTTCAACATACCTCTCTATAACATGAACCAGTTGAGATGTGAGTGGTCGCATTGATTTGATTTTTGGTTTGCTCGTAGGCAGCTGGCACCTGCATTCAGTAATGCCGAAAAATTGGCACTGCTGTGAATAGTTTAGTCGCAAAGTGAAGAATCACGGGCAAAAAGGCCCAAAACTTCGAGATAGTTTGATATCAGCTTTGAGCAGCCCTGGGCGAGGTGTTTATTGAAACGTGGAATTTTTTCTTGGTTCACTTCCCTATGTCCAGCTAAACAACAAGATCAGGGCGGCGATGGTCAGTTCTTGAGCTTCGAACGGGCAGAAAGGTGAGAAATTGTCGCTTTTTGCCCATTTGTGCCCACGTGTCACTTTCAACGTACCTCTCTATAACATGACCCAGCTGTGATGTGAGTGGTCGCATTGATTTGATTTTTGGTTTGCTTGTAGGCCGCTGGCACCCGCATTCAGTGACGGCGAAAATTTGGCACTGCTGTGAATAGTTTAGTCACAAAGTGAAGAATCACGGCAAAAAGGCCCAAAACTTCGAGACAGTTTGATATCAGCTTTGAGCAGCCCTGGGCGAAGTATTTATTGAAATGTGGAATTTTTCTTGTTGCACTTCCCTATGTTAAGCTAAACAACAAGATCAGGGTGGCCATGGTCAGTTCTTGAACTTCGAACGGGGAGATAGGTGAGAAATTGTCGCTTTTTGCCCATTTGTGCCCACGTGTCACTTTCAACGTACCTCTCTATAACATGACCCAGCTGTGATGTGAGTGGTCGCATTGATTTGATTTTTGGTTTGCTTGTAGGCCGCTGACACCCGCATTCGGTGACGCCCAAAATTTGGCACTGCTGTGAATAGTTTAGTCGCAAAGTGAAGAATCACAGCCAAAAAGGCCCAAAACTTCGAGACAGTTTTATTTCAGCTTTCAGCAGCCCTGGGCGAAGTGTTTATTGAAATGTGGAATTTTTCTTGGTGCACTTCCCTATGTGCAGCTAAACAACAAGATCAGGGTGGCCATGGTCACTTCTTGAGCTTCGAACGGGCAGAAAGGTGAGAAATTGTCGCTTTTTCTCCCATTTGTGCCCACGTGTCACTTTCAACATACCTCTCTATAACATGAACCAGTTGAGATGTGAGTGGTCGCATTGATTTGATTTTTGGTTTGCTCGTAGGCAGCTGGCACCTGCATTCAGTAATGCCGAAAAATTGGCACTGCTGTGAATAGTTTAGTCGCAAAGTGAAGAATCACGGGCAAAAAGGCCCAAAACTTCGAGATAGTTTGATATCAGCTTTGAGCAGCCCTGGGCGAGGTGTTTATTGAAACGTGGAATTTTTTCTTGGTTCACTTCCCTATGTCCAGCTAAACAACAAGATCAGGGCGGCGATGGTCAGTTCTTGAGCTTCGAACGGGCAGAAAGGTGAGAAATTGTCGCTTTTTGCCCATTTGTGCCCACGTGTCACTTTCAACGTACCTCTCTATAACATGACCCAGCTGTGATGTGAGTGGTCGCATTGATTTGATTTTTGGTTTGCTTGTAGGCCGCTGGCACCCGCATTCAGTGACGGCGAAAATTTGGCACTGCTGTGAATAGTTTAGTCACAAAGTGAAGAATCACGGCAAAAAGGCCCAAAACTTCGAGACAGTTTGATATCAGCTTTGAGCAGCCCTGGGCGAAGTATTTATTGAAATGTGGAATTTTTCTTGTTGCACTTCCCTATGTTAAGCTAAACAACAAGATCAGGGTGGCCATGGTCAGTTCTTGAACTTCGAACGGGGAGATAGGTGAGAAATTGTCGCTTTTTGCCCATTTGTGCCCACGTGTCACTTTCAACGTACCTCTCTATAACATGACCCAGCTGTGATGTGAGTGGTCGCATTGATTTGATTTTTGGTTTGCTTGTAGGCCGCTGGCACGCGCATTCAGTAATGCCGAAAGATTGGCACTGCTGTGAATAGTTTAGTCGCAAAGTGAAGAATCACGGGCAAAAAGGCCCAAAACTTCGAGATAGTTTGATATCAGCTTTGAGCAGCCCTGGGCAAAGTGTTTATTGAAACGTGGAATTTTTTCTTGGTTCACTTCCCTATGTCCAGCTAAACAACAAGATCAGGGCGGCGATGGTCAGTTCTTGAGCTTCGAACGGGCAGAAAGGTGAGAAATTGTCGCTTTTTGCCCATTTGTGCCCACGTGTCACTTTCAACGTACCTCTCTATAACATGACCCAGCTGTGACGTGAGTGGTCGCATTGATTTGATTTTTGGTTTGCTTGTAGGCCGCTGGCACCCGCATTAAGTGACGACGAAAATTTGGCACTGCTGTGAATAGTTTAGTCACAAAGTGAAGAATCACGGCAAAAAGGCCCAAAACTTCGAGACAGTTTGATATCAGCTTTGAGCAGCCCTGGGCGAAGTGTTTATTGAAATGTGGAATTTTTCTTGTTGCACTTCCCTATGTTAAGCTAAACAACAAGATCAGGGTGGCCATGGTCAGTTCTTGAACTTCGAACGGGGAGATAGGTGAGAAATTGTCGCTTTTTGCCCATTTGTGCCCACGTGTCACTTTCAACGTACCTCTCTATAACATGACCCAGCTGTGATGTGAGTGGTCGCATTGATTTGATTTTTGGTTTGCTTGTAGGCCGCTGGCACGCGCATTCAGTAATGCCGAAAGATTGGCACTGCTGTGAATAGTTTAGTCGCAAAGTGAAGAATCACGGGCAAAAAGGCCCAAAACTTCGAGATAGTTTGATATCAGCTTTGAGCAGCCCTGGGCGAAATGTGTTTATTGAAATGTGGAATTTTTTCTTGGTGCAGTTCCCTATGTCCAGCTAAACATCAAGATCAGGGCGGCGATGGTCAGTTCTTGAGCTTCGAACGGGCAGAAAGGTGAGAAATTGTCGCTTTTTGCCCATTTGTGCACACGTGTCACTTTCAACGTACCTCTCTATAACATGACCCAGCTGTGATGTGAGTGGTCGCATTGATTTGATTTTTGGTTTGCTTGTAGGCCGCTGGCACGCGCATTCAGTAATGCCGAAAAATTGGCACTGCTGTAAATAGTTTAGTCGCAAAGTGAAGAATCACGGGCAAAAAGGCCCAAAACTTCGATATAGTTTTATATCAGCTTTGAGCAGCCCTGGGCGAAGTGTTTATTGAAATGTGGAATTTTTTCTTGGTGCACTTCTCTATGTCCAGCTAAACAACAAGATCAGGGCGGCGATGGTTAGTTCTTGAGCTTCGAACGGGCAGAAAGGTGAGAAATTGTCGCTTTTTGCCCATTTGTGCCCACGTGTCACTTTCAACGTACCTCTCTATAACATGACCCAGCTGTGATGTGAGTGGTCGCATTGATTTGATTTTTGTTTGGCTTGTAGGCCGCTGGCACCCGCATTAAGTGACGACGAAAATTTGGCACTGCTGTGAATAGTTTAGTCACAAAGTGAAGAATCACGGGCAAAATGGCCCAAAACTTCGAGACAGTTCTATTTCAGCTTTCAGCAGCCCTGGGCGAAGTGTTTATTGAAATGTGGAATTTTTCTTGGTGCACTTCCCTATGTCCAGCTAAACAACAAGATCAGGGTGGCCATGGTCACTTCTTGAGCTTCGAACGGGCAGAAAGGTGAGAAATTGTCGCTTTTTCTCCCATTTGTGCCCACGTGTCACTTTCAACGTACCTCTCTATAACAGTGATGTGAGTGGTCGCATTGATTTGATTTTTGGTTTGCTTGTAGGCCGCTGGCACCCGCATTCATGGACGACGAAAAGTTGGCACTGCTGTGAATAGTTTAGTCACAAAGTGAAGAATCACGGCAAAAAGGCCCAAAACTTCGAGACTGTTTTATATCAGCTTTGAGCAGCCCTGGGCGAAGTGTTTATTGAAATGTGGAATTTTTCTTGCTGCACTTCCCTATGTTAAGCTAAACAACAAGATCAGGGTGGCCATGGTCAGTTCTTGAACTTCGAACGGGGAGATAGGTGAGAAATTGTCGCTTTTTGCCCATTTGTGCCCACGTGTCACTTTCAACGTACCTCTCTATAACATGACCCAGCCGTGATGTTAGTGGTCGCATTGATTTGATTTTTGGTTTGCTTGTAGGCCGCTGGCACCTGCATTCAGTGATGACGAAAATTTGGCACTGCCGTGAATAGTTTAGTCACAAAGTGAAGAATCACGGGCAAAAAGGCCCAAAACTTCGAGAACGTTTTATATCAGCTTTGAGCAGCCCTGGGCGAAGTGTTTATTCAAATGTGGAATTTTTCTTTTTGCACTTCCCTATGTTAAGCTATGGCGTCACTGAATGCGGGTGCTAGCGGCCTACAATTAAACCAAAAATCAAATCAATACGACCACTCACATCAGAGCTGGGTCATGTTATAGAGAGGTACGTTGAAAGTGACACGTGGGCACAAATGGGCAAAAAGCGACAATTTCTCACCTTTCTGCCCGTTCGAAGCTCAAGAACTGACCATCGCCGCCCTGATCTTGTTGTTTAGCTGGACATAGCGAAGTGCAGGAAGAAAAAATTCCACATTTCAATAAACACATTTCGCCCAGGGCTGCTCAAAGCTGATATCAAACTATCTCGAAGTTTTGGGCCTTTTTGCCCGTGATTCTTCACTTTGCGACTAAACTATTCACAGCAGTGCCAATTTTTCGGCATTACTGAATGCGCACGCCAGCGGCCTACAAGCAAACCAAAAATCAAATCAATGCGACCACTCACATCACAGCTGGGTCATGTTATAGAGAGGTACGTTGAAAGTGACACGTGGAGACAAATGAGCAAAAAGCGACAATTTCTCACCTTTCTGCCCGTTTGAAGCTCAAGAACTGACCATCGCCGCCCTGATCTTGTTGTTTAGCTGGGCATAGGGAAGTGCTCAAAGAAAAAATTCCACATTTCAATAAACACTTCGCCCAGGGCTGCTCAAAGCTGATATCAAACTATCTCGAAGTTTTGGGCCTTTTTGCCCGTGATTCTTCACTTTGCGACTAAACCATTCACAGCAGTGCCAATTTTTCGGCATTACTGAATGCGGGTGCCAGCGGCCTAGAAGCAAACCAAAATTCAAATCAATGCGACCACTCACATCACAGCTGGGTCATGTTATAGAGAGGTACGTTGAAAGTGACACGTGGGCACAAATGGGCAAAAAGCGACAATTTCTCACCTTTCTGCCCGTTCGAAGCTCAAGAACTGACCATCGCCACCCTGATCTTGTTGTTTAGCTGGACATAGGGAAGAAAAACCAAGAAAAAATTTCACATTTCAATAAACAACTCGCCCAGGGCTGCTCAAAGCTGATATCAAACTATCTCGAAGTTTTGGGCCTTTTTGCCCGTGATTCTTCACTTTTCGACTAAACTATTGACAGCAGTGCCAAATTTTCGGAGTCACTGAATGCGAGTGCCAGCGGCCTACAAGAAAACCAAAAATCAAATCAATAATACGACCACACACATCACAGCTGCGCCATGTTATAGAGAGGTACGTTGAAAGTGACACGTGGGCACAAATGGGAGAAAAAGCGACAATTTCTCACCTTTCTGCCCGTTCGAAGCTAAAGAACTGACCATCGCCACCCTCATCTTGTTGTTTAGATCGACATAAGGAAGTGCACCAAAACAATTTCCACATTTCAATTAACACTTCGCCCAGGGCTGCTCAAAGCTGAAATAAAACTGTCTCGAAGTTTTGGGCCTTTTTGGCCGTGATTGTTAACTTTGCGACTAAACTATTCACAGCAGTGCCAAATTTTCGGCGTCACTGAATGCGGGTGCCAGCGGCCTACAAGCCTACAAGCAAACCCAAAATCAAATCAATGCGACAACTCACTTCACAGCTTGGACATGTTATAGAGAGGTACATTGAAAGTGACATGTGGGCACAAATGGGAGAAAAAGCGACAATTTCTCACCTTCCTGCCCGTTCGAAGCTCAAGAACTGACCATGGTCACCCTGATCTTGTTGTTTAGCTGGACATAGGGAATTGCCCCAAGAAAAAATTCCACATTTCAATAAATACTTCGCCCAGGGCTGCTCAAAGCTGATATCAAACTATCTCGAAGTTTTGGGCCTTTTTTGCCCGTGATTCTTCACTTCGTGACTAAACTATTCACAGCAGTGCCAAATTTTTGTTGTCACAGAATGCGGGTGCCAGCGGCCTAAAAGCAAACCAAAAATCAAATCAATGCGACCACTCACATCACAGCTGGGTCATGTTATAGAGAGGTACGTTGAAAGTGACACGTGGGCACAAATGGGCAAAAAGCGACAATTTCTCACCTTTCTGCCCGTTCGAAGCTCAAGAACTGACCATCGCCACCCTGATCTTGTTGCTTAGCTGGACATAGGGAAGTGAACCAAGAAAAAAATCCGCATTTCAATAAACACTTCGCCCAGGGCTGCTCAAAGCTGAAATAAAACTATCTCGAAGTTTTGGGCCTTTTTTGCCCGTGATTCTTCACTTTTCGACTAAACTATTGACAGCAGTGCCAAATTTTTGGCGTCACTGAATGCGAGTGCCAGCGGCCTACAAGAAAACCAAAAATCAAATCAATAATACGACACAACACATCACAGCTGGGCCACGTTATAGAGAGGTACGTTGAAAGTGACACGTGGGCACAAATGGGAGAAAAAGCGACAATTTCTCACCTTTCTGCCCGTTCGAAGCTAAAGAACTGACCATCGCCACCCTCATCTTGTTGTTTAGATCGACATAGGGAAGTGCACCAAAACAATTTCCACATTTCAATTAACACTTCGCTCAGGGCTGCTCAAAGCTGAAATAAAACTGTCTCGAAGTTTTGGGCCTTTTTGGCCGTGATTGTTAACTTTGCGACTAAACTATTCACAGCAGTGCCAAATTTTCGGCGTCACTGAATGCGGGTGTCAGCGGCCTACAAGCAAACCAAAAATAAAATCAATAATACGACCACACACATCACAGATGGGTCATGTTATAGAGAGGTACGTTGAAAGTGACACGTGGGCACAAATGGGCAAAAAGCGACAATTTCTCACCTTTCTGCCCGTTCGATGCTCAAGAACTGACCATCTCCACCCTGATCTTGTTGTTTAGCTGGACATAGGGAAGTGCACCAAGGAAAATTTCCACATTTCAATAAACACTTCGCCCAGGGCAGCTCAAAGCTGATATCAAACTATCTCGAAGTTTTTGGCCTTTTTGCCCGTGATTCTTCATTTTGCGACTAAACTATTCACAGGAGTGCAAATTTTTTGGCATTACTCAATGCGGGTGCCAGCGGCCTACAAGCAAACCAAAAATCAAATCAATGCGACCACTCACATCTCAGCTGGGTCATGTTATAGAGAGGTACGTTGAAAGTGACACGTGGGCACAAATGGGCAAAAAGCGATAATTTCTCACCTTTCTGCCCGTTTGAAGCTCAAGAACTGACCATCGCCACCCTGATCTTGTTGTTTAGCTGGACATAGGGAAGTGCACCAAGAAAAATTTCAACATTTTAATAAACACTTCGCCCAGGGCTGCTCAAAGCTGATATCAAACTATCTCGAAGTTTTGGGCCTTTTTGCCCGTGATTCTTCACTTTGTGACTAAACTATTCACAGCAGTGCCAAATTTTCGTCATCACTGAATGCGGGTGCCAGCGGCCTACAAGCAAACCTAAAATCAAATCAATGCGACCACTCACATCACAGCTGGGTCATGTTATAGAGAGGTACGTTGAAAGTGACACGTGGAGACAAATGAGCAAAAAGCGACAATTTCTCACCTTTCTGCCCGTTCGAAGCTCAAGAACTGACCATCGCCGCCCTGATCTTGTTGTTTAGCTGGACATAGGGAAGTGCACAAAGAAAAAATTCCACATTTCAATAAACACTTCGCCCAGGGCTGCTCAAAGCTGATATCAAACTATCTCGAAGTTTTGGGCCTTTTTGCCCGTGATTCTTCACTTTGCGACTAAACTATTCACAGCAGTGCCAATTTTTCGGCATTACTGAATGCGGGTGCCAGCGGCCTAGAAGCAAACCAAAAATCAAATCAATGCGACCACTCACATCACAGCTGGGTCATGTTATAGAGAGGTATGTTGAAGGTGACACGTGGGCACAAATGGGCAAAAAGCGACAATTTCTCACCTTTCTGCCCGTTCGAAGCTCAAGAACTGACCATCGCCACCCTGATCTTGTTGTTTAGCTGGACATAGGGAAGAAAAACCAAGAAAAAATTCCACATTTCAATAAACAACTCGCCCAGGGCTGCTCAAAGCTGATATCAAACTATCTCGAAGTTTTGGGCCTTTTTGCCCGTGATTCTTCACTTTTCGACTAAACTATTGACAGCAGTGCCAAATTTTCGGCATCACTGAATGCGAGTGCCAGCGGCCTACAAGAAAACCAAAAATCAAATCAATAATACGACCACACACATCACAGCTGGGCCATGTTATAGAGAGGTACGTTGAAAGTGACACGTGGGCACAAATGGGAGAAAAAGCGACAATTTCTCACCTTTCTGCCCGTTCGAAGCTAAAGAACTGACCATCGCCACCCTCATCTTGTTGTTTAGATCGACATAGGGAAGTGCACCAAAACAATTTCCACATTTCAATTAACACTTCGCCCAGGGCTGCTCAAAGCTGAAATAAAACTGTCTCGAAGTTTTGGGCCTTTTTGGCCGTGATTGTTAACTTTGCGAGACTAAACTATTCACAGCAGTGCCAAATTTTCGGCGTCACTGAATGCGGGTGCCAGCGGCCTACAAGCAAACCCAAAATCAAATCAATGCGACAACTCACTTCACAGCTTGGTCATGTTATAGAGAGGTACATTGAAAGTGACATGTGGGCACAAATGGGAGAAAAAGCGACAATTTCTCACCTTCCTGCCCGTTCGAAGCTCAAGAACTGACCATGGTCACCCTGATCTTGTTGTTTAGCTGGACATAGGGAATTGCCCCAAGAAAAAATTCCACATTTCAATAAATACTTCGCCCAGGGCTGCTCAAAGCTGATATCAAACTATCTCGAAGTTTTGGGCCTTTTTGCCCGTGATTCTTCACTTCGTGACTAAACTATTCACAGCAGTGCCAAATTTTTGTTGTCACAGAATGCGGGTGCCAGCGGCCTAAAAGCAAACTAAAAATCAAATCAATGCGACCACTCACATCACAGCTGGGTCATGTTATAGAGAGGTACGTTGAAAGTGACACGTGGGCAAAAATGGGCAAAAAGCGACAATTTCTCACCTTTCTGCCCGTTCGAAGCTCAAGAACTGACCATCGCCACCCTGATCTTGTTGCTTAGCTGGACATAGGGAAGTGAACCAAGAAAAAAATCCGCATTTCAATAAACACTTCGCCCAGGGCTGCTCAAAGCTGAAATAAAACTATCTCGAAGTTTTGGGCCTTTTTTGCCCGTGATTCTTCACTTTTCGACTAAACTATTGACAGCAGTGCCAAATTTTTGGCGTCACTGAATGCGAGTGCCAGCGGCCTACAAGAAAACCAAAAATCAAATCAATAATACGACCACACACATCACAGCTGGGCCACGTTATAGAGAGGTACGTTGAAAGTGACACGTGGGCACAAATGGGAGAAAAAGCGACAATTTCTCACCTTTCTGCCCGTTCGAAGCTAAAGAACTGACCATCGCCACCCTCATCTTGTTGTTTAGATCGACATAGGGAAGTGCACCAAAACAATTTCCACATTTCAATTAACACTTCGCTCAGGGCTGCTCAAAGCTGAAATAAAACTGTCTCGAAGTTTTGGGCCTTTTTGGCCGTGATTGTTAACTTTGCGACTAAACTATTCACAGCAGTGCCAAATTTTCGGCGTCACTGAATGCGGGTGTCAGCGGCCTACAAGCAAACCAAAAATCAAATCAATGCGACCACTCACATCACAGATGGGTCATGTTATAGAGAGGTACGTTGAAAGTGACACGAGGGCACAAATGGGCAAAAAGCGACAATTTCTCACCTTTCTGCCCGTTCGAAGCTCAAGAACTGACCATCGCCACCCTGATCTTGTTGCTTAGCTGGACATAGGGAAGTGAACCAAGAAAACATCCGCATTTCAATAAACACTTCGCCCAGGGCTGCTCAAAGCTGAAATAAAACTATCTCGAAGTTTTGGGCCTTTTTTGCCCGTGATTCTTCACTTTTCGACTAAACTATTGACAGCAGTGCCAAATTTTTGGCGTCACTGAATGCGAGTGCCAGCGGCCTACAAGAAAACCAAAAATCAAATCAATAATACGACCACACACATCACAGCTGGGCCACGTTATAGAGAGGTACGTTGAAAGTGACACGTGGGCACAAATGGGAGAAAAAGCGACAATTTCTCACCTTTCTGCCCGTTCGAAGCTAAAGAACTGACCATCGCCACCCTCATCTTGTTGTTTAGATCGACATAGGGAAGTGCACCAAAACAATTTCCACATTTCAATTAACACTTCGCTCAGGGCTGCTCAAAGCTGAAATAAAACTGTCTCGAAGTTTTGGGCCTTTTTGGCCGTGATTGTTAACTTTGCGACTAAACTATTCACAGCAGTGCCAAATTTTCGGCGTCACTGAATGCGGGTGTCAGCGGCCTACAAGCAAACCAAAAATCAAATCAATGCGACCACTCACATCACAGATGGGTCATGTTATAGAGAGGTACGTTGAAAGTGACACGTGGGCACAAATGGGCAAAAAGCGACAATTTCTCACCTTTCTGCCCGTTCGAAGCTCAAGAACTGACCATCTCCACCCTGATCTTGTTGTTTAGCTGGACATAGGGAAGTGCACCAAGAAAAATTTCCACATTTCAATAAACACTTCGCCCAGGGCAGCTCAAAGCTGATATCAAACTATCTCGAAGTTTTGGGCCTTTTGCCCGTGATTCTTCACTTTGCGACTAAACTATTCACAGCAGTGCCAAATTTTCAGCATTCCTGAATGCGGGTGCCAGCGGCCTACAAGAAAACCAAAAATCATATCAATGCGACCACTCACATCACAGCTGGGTCATGTTATAGAGAGGTACGTTGAAAGTGACACATGGGCACAAATGGGAGAAAAAGCGACAATTTCTCACCTTTCTGCCCGTTCGAAGCTCAAGAACTGACTGTGGCCACCCTGATCTTGTTGTTTAGCTGGACATAGGGAAGTGAACCAAGAAAAATATCCACATTTCAATAAACACTTCGCCCAGGGCTGCTCAAAGCTGATATCAAACTATCTCGAAGTTTTGGGCCTTTTTGCCCGTGATTCTTCACTTTGCGACTAAACTATTCACAGCAGTGCCAAATTTTCGGCATCACTGAATGCGGGTGCCAGCGGCCTACAAGCAAACCAAAAATCAAATCAATGCGACCACTCACATCACAGCTGGGTCATGTTATAGAGAGGTATGTTGAAGGTGACACGTGGGCACAAATGGGCAAAAAGCGACAATTTCTCACCTTTCTGCCCGTTCGAAGCTCAAGAACTGACCATCGCCACTCTGATCTTGTTGTTTAGCTGGACATAGGGAAGTGCACCAAGAAAAAATTCCACATTTCAATAAACACTTCGCCCAGGGCTGCTCAAAGCTGATATCAAACTATCTCGAAGTTTTGGGCCATTTTGCCCTTGATTCTTTACTTTGCGACTAAACTATTCACAGCAGTGCCAATTTTTCGGCATTACTGAGTGCAGCTGCCAGCGGCCTACAAGCAAACCATAAATCAAATCAATGCGACCACTCACATCACAGCTGGGTCATGTTATAGAGAGGTACGTTGAAAGTGACACGTGGGCACAAATGGGTAAAAAGCGACAATTTCTCACCTTTCTGCCCGTTCGAAGCTCAAGAACTGACCATCGCCACCCTGATCTTGTTGTTTAGCTGGACATAGGGAAGTGAACCAAGAAAAAATTCCACATTTCAATAAACACTTCGCCCAGGGCTGCTCAAAATATAAGTTTCCGTGCATGGCACGGTAAGTGGAGTTAGCAACACACCAACATCCTTGCCATAAGCAACACTTGTACATGCATAACATGCACGCACTCCGAACTCCCGCGTTTCCGCACGGGACTGTGCGGAGCATGCGCATTACTCCAATTCACCATGCTGTTGTTTCTTGCTCTTCGCTTTGCTGTGCTGACGGTCAAATTGTTTGACTATCGCGGCCAGTTTCTGATCAATATCCGATCAACCATGTCTCTATCAGTGAGCGATGTCCAGCCAAAACGCTCTTTGCTTTGCTGCGCTGACGGTCAAATTGTTTGACTACCGCGGCCAGTTTCTGATCAATATCCGATCAACCATGTCTCTGTCAGTGAGCGATGTCCAGCCAAAACGCTCTTTGCTTTGCTGCGCTGACGCAGTGACGGTCAAATTGTTTGACAATCGCGGCCAGTTTCTGATCAATATCCGATCAACCATGTCTCTGTCAGTGAGCGATGTCCAGCCATAACGCTCTTTGCTTTGCTGCCTTGACGGTCAAATTGTTTGACAATCGCGGCCAGTTTCTGATCAATATCCGATCAACCATGTCTCTGTCAGTGAGCGATGTCCAGCCAAAATGCGCTCTGCTGAGCTGCGAAACGCACTGGCATCCCGCAATTATTTAGACCCGACAGGAACAAAACCTACTCCGCGGACTCGCCTGCGTGAGTTGAAGTTGGCTCCAGACTACTGTACGCGAGGACTTGGCCGGTCCGGCAGCGGAGCAGAACCTAGCCGAGGCAACTGCAGCCCCATCCCTGGCCTGGGAGACTTAAGTCGGGAGGAGGTTCGCGACGCTTGGAGCACGTATTGTGCGACTTACGCAGCAGCACACCCCTCCAGGGCCCCCGGAGCTGTTTTCGCACCAGCCCATAATCTTGAAGATGGCTCGGAAATTTAGGTCCCTGATGCTGAGCTCTCCTCTCTAAAGCTGACACGAAGTATGCCTGGCGGCTTTGGCCTGTTTCCCCTCATGTCTGGCCCCGGCTTGGCATTTTTGGGAAGGTTCGTACCATGTAGATAAGGCACCACCATTTGGCCTTAGATCCTCCCCCTTCCGTTCAACAGACCGGCTGATGTGGACTCTCAGCCCAACGGCGACTCTGCAACGATCCTGCTAAGTCTCTTACTCGTCTTCGAGTACAGCGCTTCCGGACTCTCAGCCCATCTACGGACGCAGTGCTGACACACCCTGCACAGTCCACCCTCCAGCAGCTGATGACGCAACCATGGACCTCATCCGCCAGGGCCTGGCAGACAGTTCCAGCATAACATGTGCTTCGCTGCCGCGCTCCGAACACTTGTCGCCCTGCGCCAGGGCAAGCCACACTCAGGGACTGATCAGTGCCGGCAGCATTGTTCCAGATCCTGTACTTTGAGCGCATTGCCCACGGTGCTAATGGCTAGCCGCATTGGACGGCACTCACATCAATTGCAGTGTAATAGTAATGCAGATAAATCCTGTTTGGGTCAGGTTGTCAGCGCTGCCGGACTCGCATCCCAACTGCCGAAGTGGTGCCGACACAACCAGCGCAGTCCACCCTCCAGCAGTTGACGACGCAACCATGGACCTCCTCCGCCAGGGCCTGGCGGACAGCTCCAGCATGGCATGCGCTTCGCCGCAGCACTCCGAACGCTTGTCGCCCTGCGCCAGGGCAAGCCAACCTCAGGGACTGATCAGTGCCGGCAGCATTGTTCCAGATCCTGTACTTCGAGCACATCGCCCACTATGCTAATGGGCAGCCGCATTGGACGGCACTCACATAAATTGCAGTGTAATAGTAATGCAGATAAATCCTGTCTGGGTCCGGTTGTCAGCGCGTCTGGACTTGCAGCCCAACTGCCGAAGCGGTGCCGGCACAACCAGCGCAGTCCACCCTTCAGCAGTTGATGACGCAACCATGGACCTCATCCGCAAGGGCCTGGCGGGCAGCTCCAGCACAACATACGCTTCGCTGCAGCGCTCCGAACGCTTGTCACCCCGCACTAGGGCAAGCCATACCCAGTGACTGATCAGTGCCAGCAGCATTGTTCCATATTCGGTATGTTGAGCGCATTGCCCACTATGCTAATGGGCAGCCGCATTGGACGGCACTCAGATCAATTGTAGTGTAATAGTAATGCAGATAAATCCTGTCTGGGTCACGTTGTCGGCGCTTCTGGACTCGCAGCCCAACTGCCGACGCAGTGCCGACACAACCAGCGCAGTCCACCCTTCAGCAGTTGACGACGCAACCATGTACTTCATCCGCCAGGGGCTGGCGGACAGCTCCAGCACGACATTCGCTGCAGCGCTCCGGACGCTTGTCGCCCCCGCGTCAGGGCAAGCTACACCCAGGGACTGACCAGTGCCAGCAGCGTTGTTCCAGATCCGGTACGTAGAGCGCATTGCCCACTATGCTAATGGGCAGCCGCATTGGACGGCGCTCGCATCTATTGCTGTAAATAGTAATGCCGATAAATCCTGTTTGGGTCATGTTGTATTTTTGGGAGAACAGTAAGGATCGTGAGTCAGGCCGGCATTGAGCCAAGTGCGCCTATATTCGCTCACAAGTGCATCCTTTAAGCCATCCCGTAAGGGAGAACAGTAGGGATCGTGGGTCAGGCCGGCATTGAGCCAAGTGCGCCTACATTCGCCCACAAGTGCATCCCTACTGCATGCTCGTGTATTGACACATCTGAATTCAACAGTAGGGATCGTGGGCAGGCCGGCATTGAGCCAAGTGCGCCTACATTCGCCCACAAGTGTATCCCTACTGCATGCTCGTGTATTGACACGTCTGAATTCTCGCCGGGCACTTGTTGCCCCAGTTAGTGTCGGCATTGGCCATACTAACGCACAGCGGTGCTTGCAATACTAGCTCTGGCATTGGACCAGAATATTGCATATTGCATACGGCAATTGTTGCCTATCTCCTGGTAATACAACGCGTAATAGCTCCCAAACAGGTCGGCTTGTTGTGTGGTTGGTAAATATAAGTTTCCGTGCATGGCACGGTAAGTGGAGTTAGCAACACACCAACATCCTTGCCATAAGCAACACTTGTACATGCATAACATGCACGCACTCCGAACTCCCGCGTTTCCGCACGGGACTGTGCGGAGCATGCGCATTACTCCAATTCGCCATGCTGTTGTTTCTTGCTCTTCGCTTTGCTGTGCTGACGGTCAAATTGTTTGACTATCGCGGCCAGTTTCTGATCACCACCACCCACCCCATCATCTCTCACTAGCATTCCATTCGAACCCATCCCGAAAGGGAGAACAGTAAGGATCGTGAGTCAGGCCGGCATTGAGCCAAGTGCGCCTATATTCGCTCACAAGTGCATCCTTTAAGCCATCCCGTAAGGGAGAACAGTAGGGATCGTGGGTCAGGCCGGCATTGAGCCAAGTGCGCCTACATTCGCCCACAAGTGCATCCCTACTGCATGCTCGTGTATTGACACATCTGAATTCAACAGTAGGGATCGTGGGTCAGGCCGGCATTGAGCCAAGTGCGCCTACATTCGCCCACAAGTGCATCCCTACTGCATGCTCGTGTATTGACACATCTGAATTCAACAGTAGGGATCGTGGGCAGGCCGGCATTGAGCCAAGTGCGCCTACATTCGCCCACAAGTGTATCCCTACTGCATGCTCGTGTATTGACACGTCTGAATTCTCGCCGGGCACTTGTTGCCCCAGTTAGTGTCGGCATTGGCCATACTAACGCACAGCGGTGCTTGCAATACTAGCTCTGGCATTGGACCAGAATATTGCATATTGCATACGGCAATTGTTGCCTATCTCCTGGTAATACAACGCGTAATAGCTCCCAAACAGGTCGGCTTGTTGTGTGGTTGGTAAGCTAATATCAAACTATCTCGAAGTTTTGGGCCTTTTTGCCCGTGATTCTTCACTTTGCGACTAAACTATTCACAGCAGTGCCAAATTTTCGGCATTACTGAATGCGGGTTCTAGCGGCCTACAAGCAAACCAAAAATCAAATCAATGCGACCACTCACATCACAGCTGGGTCATGTTATAGAGAGGTACGTTGAAAGTGACACTTGGGCACAAATGGGAGAAAAAGCGACAATTTCTCACCTTTCTGCCCGTTCGAAGCTCAAGAACTGACTATGGCCACCCGGACCTTGTTGTTTAGCTGGACATAGGGAAGTGCACCAAGAAAAATTCCACATTTCAATAAACACTTCGCCCAGGGCTGCTCAAAGCTGAAATAAAACTATCTCGAAGTTTTTGGCCTTTTTGCCCATGATTCTTCACTTTGCGACTAAACTATTCACAGCAGTGCCAACTTTTCGGCATCACTGAATGCGGGTGCCAGCGGCCTACAAGCAAACCAAAAATCAAATCAATGCGACCACTCACATCACAGCTGGGTCATGTTATAGAGAGGTACGTTGAAAGTGACACGTGGGCACAAATGGGAGAAAAAGCGACAGTATCTCACCTTTCTGCCCGTTCGAAGCTCAAGAACTGACCATCGCCACCCTGATCTTGTTGTTTAGCTGGACATAGGGAAGTGCACCAAGAAAAAATTCCACATTTCAATAAACATTTCGACCAGGGCAGCTCAAAGCTTGTATCAAACTATCTCGAAGTTTTGGGCCTTTTGCCCGTGATTCTTCACTTTGCGACTAAACTATTCACAGCAGTGCCAAATTTTCGGCATTACTGAATGCGGGTGCTAGCGGCCTACAAGCAAACCAAAAATCAAATCAATGCGACCACTCACATCACAGCTGGGTCATGTTATAGAGAGGTACGTTGAAATTGACACGTGGGCACAAATGGGAGAAAAAGCGACAATTTCTCACCTTTCTGCCCGTTCGAAGCTCAAGAACTGACTATGGCCACCCGGACCTTGTTGTTTAGCTGGACATAGGGAAGTGCA